TGAAGGTGTAATTGGGGACTCAGTATCCCCTTGGCAAGCCCAAGTTTTGGTAGTAGCCAATGAAAACCACAAAAAGCAGATGGTTGCCGATTATGGCCAAAAAACCAACAGATACACACTTCCTGATGCCTACCCCTTCCCTTGAATAGACGAGATGATTGAACGTATTGCAAACTACGACACGTATAGCAGTCTTCATCTCACGAGCGCCTACTACCAGATACCCATCCGGGTAGAGGAAAGATCGTACACAGCCTTCGAAGCTTGTGAGGGTTTGTAACAATTTTTGTCGTATCCCGTTTGGTGTAGCCAACGGGGCTGCGTGCTTCGAACGGACCATCGACCACATAGTTGCACGCGAGCGCCTAAAAATATTTTCGTCTACGTGGACAACGTCACTATTTGTGGGAACGGCCTCGCGGAGCATGATTCAACCCTTCGAAAATTCCTTAGCGTGACCGAAAAGTACGGACTAACATTCAATGAAGCCAAAAGTGTTATTGCTACTAAAGAAACCAAACTTCTTGGTTACGGGGTATCCAAGGGCAACATTAGGCCGGATCCGGATCGTCTAAGGCCCTTGCGTGAAATGGCTCCTCCACATGATCCTAAGTCTCAACAACGAGCTGTGGGACTTTTCGCATACTACTCACAGTGGATATCTCACTTTTCGCATAAAATTCATCTGCTCCTTCATAACAAAGCATTTGATGCTTTTAAGGAGGAACTTGCGAAAGTTACAGCGGCCACTGCTCAGTACGATACCCAATTAGTTTTCGAGATCGATGCTTCAGTCGTCGCACTCGCTGCCACTGAATCAGAATGGCCGACCAGTAGCGTTCTTTTCACGTAGCCTATTTCCAAATGAGCGACATCATTCAGCTATACAGAAAGAAGCACACGCCGTAGTGGAATCCATACGCAAATGGAAGCACTTCCTCCTCTGTAATCACTTCACACTCATAAAGGATCAGCAAAAAAGGGAAGGTCAAGAATGATAATATCGAATGCTAGCGTTTGGAGCTGTCACCATTCTAAGTTGACATTGTCTATCGACCTGGTAGAGAAAATCGAGCCGTGGACACGCCTTCCCGCAATTGCTGTGGCGTCCTACGAACCAGTGTCGATCTGAAAGAACTACACGAGTCACTTTGTCATCCCGATGACTCTCGGCTTTCGCACTTTGTTCGAGCTCGGAATCTCCCCTTTCCGATGGAAGAGATTCGTACTGTTTAAAAGAAGACGAAGAACCTGGGATGCGCATATTCTCTTCCATTCGTGAGATTGGTAATGTCGTCGCTAAATGTCAGGCCTGTTGTGAAGTCAAACCCGTTTCTTTAAAACACAAGGCGAACTCCTCATAGCTCCCCAGCCGTTTGAACGATTGTCGCTCGACTTAAAAGGTCCTCTTCCATTGGTAACCCTCAACCGCTACCTGCTGACGATTATTAATGAATATTCCCGTTTCCCATCTGAATGTACTTGTCCTGGTCAGACTGCCGAAACTGCCATTAATTGTTTTTGCCAGCTCTTCTCCATACTCGGTACTCCCTCGTATTTACACACCGATCGGGGGTCGTTATTTATGTCAGACGAAGTTCAACAATTCCTTCGCAATAAAGGAGTGGCGACGAGTAGGACAAATCCGTAAAATCTCCAGGGGAATGGGCAGATGGAACGTTTGAGCCAAACTTTATGGAGGACTATCTTGCTTGCTCCAAAATCCCAAAGTTTGCCTGTCACGCACTGGGCATTCGTTTTTATTGACGCTTTACACTCAACCAGATCACTTTTGTGTTTGACCACTGATGCCACTGGATCTACTCTCCTCATGTTGCTTACCTCTCCTGACAGAGTTCTGATGGAGAAGAGCAGTCAACAGCCTAACTTTGATCCGCTCGTCGATGAGGCCGATCTGCTCCAGTGTAACCCTCAATATGCACACATACGATTCAATAATGGCAGAGAGGAAACTGTATCCGTTCGAATCCTTGCTCTCCAGCGGTGAAAAAGATGTTGGCGATTGTCATCAGGGGACGGCCACGCCCGTATTGAAAACTCTATGCCTTTTTCCCTTGACCACCCACCCATTACTGGGTGATGCAAACCTGTTAGTGCACCTAATGCTGACGAGGTCCATATGCGCTGATAAAACAGCATCAGCGCGTTCATCCATACTGCCTTCATAACGGAGACGCCGGAACTTTGCGACATGCAAACCCTTCCTTCCGATTTTTTGGTATCTCGATCCCTCTGTTTGTTGGCCGGGGTAAATGCCATGCTAACATAAGCCTCTGTCTACATTCCACCTTATCTACTACTTTCATCTTTATCGTTTTAGTTCAAGTACATCAATTGTCGGCTGAATAAAGCCCTATTATAGGGCGTTCTCGTTCCGATTCTTGCATCCTGATTTGTTCGTGAATTCCCGCTCATGTGCTTGCTGCGGTCATGGCTACGACACCGGGACATTGGCGGTCCCTCTGGATTGCGATAGACGGTTGCGGTTGGACTCACGTTGTGACAGTAAGACCCCTCCAAGTTCGTACGGGCGTTTATTGAGCGTTGCACGGTAATGTATTGGCGGTTCCCACAAAGGGCATTGGCAAACTTGGTAGTCACCTTTAAATCTCTATCTCTTGTATGCACTTGTTATCTGCGGCCCCACAAAGCCGTGCTCTGCTCATCAAACATACTCCCGTAACCGTCCCCAAGTGGTGGTCCAAGCCAAAAGTGGGTATGTGGGGTGTCTCCACATAAGATAGTCACTTCTAGGCAGAATGTTATTACCGACAAAGGCAAGGGAGACTGGAATGGCCATTTCTGACCTGTTAGCCGTCGTCAGCCAGTCATACCCAACCCTGAAGTGTGGGACACCTGGGGTTAGTTAGAAGTCCACGCCTCTAACCACTGGGTCACGGGCCCGTTCTGTCGGTTTCAATCGGGAATATACAATAGGAGAGGGCCGCTAACCGATCGTTCTCACGGAACTCAGCCGTTCCGTTGGGTATGACTGGCTGACGACGGCTAATAATCTAGAAATGGCCGTTCCAGTCTCCCCTGTCTTTGTCGGTAATAACATTCTGCCTATACCATGCGCTGCTGTGCGGCTGCTGGTTGGGCTCGAGAGAGAGCCCTTAAGGCACAACGGAACGAGGGATTTCCGTAAGCACGGTCGGTGAACGCCCCTCAACCATAGTCACTTCTTTAATTCTAATTCCCCTCCCCATGAAATTCCATGGAGGAAGCAAAGTAAAACCAGCCAAAGCTTATTCAGATTGCCTTTACCTATTCCAGAGTCTTGGTCCATAATGGAGTCGGGAAATTGCCTGGTTTCCTATATTTGTTGCTTTTGGTGAGACCAGCTTCTCTGAACAAGGAGCGATGGAGGAAATGGGTGCTGGCTAGACCTCCTGGAGTAAAAGCTCTAATTAAAGGCAGCGAACCATTGAAGTCCTATCGACGTAAAGGGCAAATTCTACGGAAATGTTTACACCTTTTCCGCTACTGTACCGAAGTTGGGCACATTGATTGTCCTTCGTATCTGCATTTGCTTCGTAGGCGCAGATTGCACCACTTGGGTGGCGGCCCTAAGCTGCCGTGCATTCGGCAGCTCCAAAGGCAATAGCTTCCTGTTGCAAACGTACACAGAACACACTTTCCTTGCCAACAACGTGGACGCACCCGCTTTTGCATTGATGGCTACTGCTAGCTTCTGTTCACATCAGGAGGTAAGATCGATAGTGACAAAGGTGATGTGCAGTGTGGAATGTTAAATACACCACCGTTATGCCGAGTTGAAAATGAGGTCCCCAACCCCGACCTGAGAGGTGGTGGTCATAAGGGAACTGCAGGCAACTGTGGTACTGGATTGGCCCGGGATGCCTATTGGATTTTCCCAACCGCGTAGACCTAGTTCTGGGGATGAAGTAAGTCCCGATGGAGGTGGACGTTGGTTTGGAAACCAAATAGAGAAAAAACTGCAGTATAGCGCCAACATAACTGTTTTGAATAGCCTTATCTGCATGCCCCTGCAACATCAAGACTAGCCAGACAAGAACGATGAGGGGATACGGTGTCTCCTTTCCGAAAAACACACTACATATGACCTATACAGACAACAGAACCAACGCCACTAAATCGTATCATTCCAATGTCGAGGCCAAGTGCTGTATGCGTTGAGGAAGATACAAAGTATCTGGCCGACTAACGAGGCCAATGGCATTCTTTGATACGGAAGCTGCGGTTGGGCGAAGAGCCTTTCCCAGTCATCCAAACACTCTTCGACCCTCAAACTAATGGAACTGTGCCGCTGCTAAGCTCAGGCGGCACAGCCCCACAGCCGGAATAATCGTGGATCCTGGGACGCTGGACCGTGCACTTTAGAGGTCCTCAACTGCCTATCCGCATTCCACGAGGCGGGAATCAGCGGATTCCCTCCAAGAAGCTCCGATCGGGACAGTGCAGCAGTTATCTCGCGAAAAAGCCCCGGTTTTTCAATATGAAGTAGACGATCTTCTCTTCGTGCATTTCGTTCGTAAATAAAACAATTTTGTGGATTTCAGAAAAAGGGTACTCAGCACCCGTCTACAAAGTTTTTATTATTTACTTATTTCTTTGAAATTTTCTGTCGCCTCCTGTACGACCAATTCATTTTTTCAGTCTGAAATTCAGTTCTGGTCGCTCTGCCGACCTTTTATTTCTATGTAGTAAGTAGGTGGAACCTCCAACCCACCATGTCCCTATTGACACCAACACGGCCAGTACTCTAGATCCTCCGGAACTTTCGAAACCAATAGAAAGTTTGGAAACAGTAACCGTTACAAGCAAACGGTTAACATAGGAATGCAAACACCAATTAGTTCAGGACAAGAGAAAAGCGATAGTTGCCCACTTTTACGGCTTCCTTAGTGATTTTGGGCTTTCATGGTCGAGCGAAGGTTTGCTCTACATTTTTTTCTAACCCTTTAGGTGGCTGTTTGAGGCCGTGGTTTTTGAACATGGAGCTTCACATATCTGCGCCTGGAAAGGTCATCCTTTTTGGCGAGCATGCTGTCGTCTATGGACACCCAGCCATTGCAGCCTCCATCGACTTGCGAGTTCGATTAAGCGTCTCTGCAGATCTCAGTGACGACGGCAACACAATGTATCGCGTGGACCTACCCGATTTGAATTCACCTCCTGTTTGTTTGTCCACGGACTGCATACGCGATGTGCGCTCCTCCCTAGTTACGAATTTCAACAAGCCCCAGGAGAAAGTTCGTGAGATTATGACAAGGCGAGGCCTAATTTCACCTGATCAACGCGTTCTAGACAGTCTGGCTGTGATCCTTTTGGCCGACGCCCTCGTGCACACTGAATATTGCCATAACTCTTGTCCGGCCAAACATCAGGGTCGCCCGCTGAATATTCGCGTTACGTCAGACCTTCCGATTGGCTCAGGACTTGGTTCTTCAGCTGCCTTCTGCACAGTCGTCTGCGCCTGTTTGCTGCATATTCACGGTCAGGATTACTCGGCAGATTTGCCCCGACTTGAGCGCATCAGCCATGAGACCGAGAAACTGATGCACGCTTTGCCCTCGGGAGTCGATACTGCCATCAGCGCCAGAGGAGGCATGATCCGCTTTCAACGAATAAACTCCTCACCATGCTGTGATACGCTGCCGGCAAAGTCCCAGCCCCTCCTTCTTATCGACACTCGAATTTCACGCTCAACAGCGGCTGTTGTTCGTGACGTCGCCGCCTTTCGTTCCACAAACCCACAGCGACACGCCCACTTGATGGAAGAAATTGCGAGCGTCTGTATCCGAGCCACAGATTACCTCCGCGACGGCAGCCTACTTTGCAGCGAATTCGACCGACTAGTTGCCCGAAACCAGGATCTTTTGGAGCAGCTAGGTGTGTCGCACCCTGTTATCGACAAGATTGTGCGCCGACTTGCAGAATTTGGCGTCAGCGCGAAGCTGACCGGAGCAGGGAGAGGTGGGTGTGTTATCGCGTTTTTGGACAGAAAGCGTCACTCTCTGACATACTCAGATGTTTCTGCTCTTCTAAAAACCCTTGGTGTAGACGTATTTATGACAACGTTTTGTGTTCCGGGAGTTCAGACAGAAGTAAACCGTTCAGAAGCCGTTTCTCTGGATTTGTTTTCACCGCACAAGGGGGCCGGTCTTATGGGGTCTCTGCAACAAGGACTTTATAACTAGACTCACTGTATGTGCAAAAACAACCATGATCGCACATAGACCGTTCAGAAACTGCGAATTTATTAGGATCGGCGACCTAGCTGCAACCCCCCAGTCGCTTAAAAATACAAGATGATGAAAGGTAATTCAGTGGCTGTAAGGCAGCGATATTCATATTTCGTTATAAAGAATTGAAAGTCATATCACATAAAGAAGTTTGTGCATCTCATAAAAAATGTTAAGGGCGTGAGCAGGCCAGGCAGGCCGAAATTGCCTAGCTGATCTACGCACCGTCAATCACTTCAGCGTGGCAAGTGAGGGACACGTGAGAAGTTATAAAATAGGGAGGAATGACAAGTGCGAAAGGTTATATATACAAGCAGACACTCAGAGATGTGGTGGGGGCACGCATCACTCAGTCGACCAACGAATTAATTCGACGGTTGACACAGCAGGGGTCGCGCGGACAGAGTTAGGTATAGCAGGCGTGACGACTGCACTATCCTCGGGGACAGTCCTGACATTGCATGCAATCTCCTTGAACCGGCTCAGGCGACGGATCGGTGGCGGCTGGAAGGAGTCGGAAGCGAGTTGGCGTCGACGAGCAATGTTGACTACCGTTGAGCGGACCAAGTTGCCCAGAGAGTGTGGGCTGGCCACCAGACCCGTGAATAAGGGCCCCGCCTCGAAGGCTGATCGCACGATTCCGATGCGGAAGAGGCCGTTCTGCAGGGGATTCACAAGAATGAGGTCGGAGCAGGCGAACTGGTCACAAATGGCCGACTGGAGAGGATTCCGACCACCAGTACTCCATAGTGCGTCATCCCAACGTTCCAACCACAGTAGTGCGACCTTTCCAGGGGCTTCTGAATTTTCTGACTGCGCATCGTTTACGCCTGGTCCTGGAAGGTGTAAAACAACAGTCCTAACCACCACTGAAGTACGTTACGTTATCCCATCAAGTGACTCGGCAGTGTATCTTACCTTGGGCTGGTCGAAATTCCGTCTTGGGTGATGGACAAACGGCCGCAAACTCCACAGCCACATCGGCCCAGTACATAAGATATTGGGAACCATCCGGCGGATATGCGCGTTTGACGCTGCATGAGTTTGCATAATCGAAACTCGAAATACGCCCATTATTCGACCGCGTTCTACTGAAGATATTCGCCGCCCAGCCGCAGTGTGTGTTACAATCGACTGGCCAGCCGAGGGATCGAACGAAAGATCCGAACTGCTTTGGAAGGTGCGACCAGGATGCCTGTTGCAATATAATTTCCGAAAACATTTGTTATTAACTAGGAACTAGCGAAGGATCAGAACTAACTGTCATCACACAGATACTGGCAAAAACTCCTCAGGCTTACCATGTTGCTGATCACGCTGGAGAGAGTTGTTTGGCCCTTACGTACATAGAAAACAAGTAATGTGCTGGTGGTGCGCAAAATAGTGCTGTCAAAAGTGTCCAGGCAGTCCCAAAAGTCTGGCGTCTCTGATGCAATGGGAGTTAGATCACACAGGAGGTCTGGGCCCCGGACTGTTGAACCACACAAATTCGGGTTTGTTTTTTGAGAGGTGGCATTGGGGACATTGGCAGATCTTCGGTACGAAGGCGCGGAAAGGAGGCGGTTCACTGGGACGTAACCAAGATGCGAGAGGAGTGTGTGAGCAGAGGTGAAGTTGGTCACAGTCCTAAACAGGTCCGGAGGTGGGGAGAGGGGGGGGCATGAGAAATGTAAGACGGTAAATTAGAGGGTGACAGACAAATGATAATGCCAGGACTACTTTGGATTGCGTGACAATATTCGTACTTGAAGGCTACAGAAAGGCCGATATAACGCCTTGGGGCTGGGAAGAAAGAGGGTGGCTCAATAGGCAAGTTCGCGCCGGCCAAAGGGTCTGGTTAAGTTAATCTGTCTGAACCGTCCAGATGGAACGACTGCGGAGCGTCGACACCGGCAGTTCCTGAGGGTGACAACGAAGACGTGTCCTACTGGACACTTTTTGGGATTAAACGGTTCTTGAAATCGTCTGCATAAAATTTCGGCAGACAATGCAACAAAAACGGATTAAAAAATTGTGACGCCCGACAAAGGGATGGAGGATAGGAATGGACATGAAACACTTACTTTTGCGGTTCGCACGTATAGACTATGGTGTTCCTGCGGCGACGTTCCTTAACCTGGCGGTAGGTCTCAGCCTCGCGTTCAGCCTCCCTGGCTATGACGGACTTTAGAAGATCCACTTCAGAGCGGGCCCTGCTGCCTGCAGGACAGACAGCCTCCAACGTAGGCATGACCTTGTCTCTAAAGAATAGGATCAGCATTCCAGTGGGCTAGTCTTTTTTTATGTGAGTGTAATAGGTAATAATGCATCCGGTGTTTGTTCGAATCAGATCTAAGGCCCTGCGCATGAGCATAGGACGACTGTAGCAACACAACTCAAACTCGGTTTTCTGCTCGCGTATCTTCCCGTTGTATTGCTGGCCACAGCGCTTGACGACGGAAGCTCGGAGTGGTGCAATGATGAAGGGAAGGCTCACCCGTTTGAGCCGGCACAAGGCAAACGGTTCCAAACGGTCTGTGACTGCTGGGCCGGAAAGTTTTCGTGCTGGATAATACCACTGTTAACAGGAAGGGCCGAGGAAAAGTCCTGGCAATAGATAACATCCTTCCTGGTTGGTATTCGGACCTCATTCCTACCACCTCTTGCTGGGCCGATGACCCGCAAATCCACTGCACTGAGATCGACAAACCAGTGCCTGTAGCCTCGACATGCGCCCGTCACACACGCCTCGTCTGCCTAAAATGCCTCCGGACGTTCAGACAGCGTATGAGTCTAAGTGGCTATATGCGTATCCATGACGGCGGGATTTCACCGCAATGTCATAACGACACACTTGCCTCCTACACCTAGAGACTCAACCCCACTACCACCACCATCATGACCACACATTTGTATAACGCATCGTCCTGGTCGGGGACCGCGCTGACACTGGCGTACCACTGTCAGATGCCCCAATATAAACTCGTTGCGACCGACCTACCTGTACACACTGCCCAAGGACATTTCACCATTGTATGGTATCCCTTCACATCAGGAAGAAAAGGCGCCAAAATGCCTTAAATCCCATCTGCTTTCAATTTCTGCAACATGAACTCGTAGAACTGAAGCCTGAGTCGTAGAGCCTACTCAAACCTGCCTGTTTGCGACTGTAAATTACTGTGTACGTGACAGCGTTAAGAGGATATTTGGTTGATGAGGACAGAAATGAGACAGAAGGCAATGCTCTTCCCTTCCTGGTCCTGCGGGCATGCAAAGTGAAGGACATAGGAAATTAGGTCTTCTGTAACTTACGCCTGCACGAGAGGAATGTTTTGCTTGGTACGTGGAAGGAATTGAGGCTCGGTGGATAAGCGTCGTACGGGAGTATTAGTGGCGTAAATGGACTCCAGGAAGGAAACGGGGGACTGAATTTCCGTGTCCTCCTGCGACGCCGTTGCCGCAGTGCCGACTGCAGGACACGGAGTTAGTGGAGTACGTGGGAGGAAACGCGGCTTGCAAGACCACACCTGACGCCCAAAATTGTCTCCCCGCAGGACGACCAGCACACTGGGCGGATCGGCGACCGACTGTGGAACCGCACTGTTTCTGGCGTTGGTGGAACAAGCAGGCACACAAGCTGCCATGGTGCTATTGGTGGGCTCCTCCAAAAGACCCATCAGCAGGGAGGCATTGTCCCAGAAGTATTGGAAACGGGGGTGGCGGCCGGTATGGGTCTGTCGCCGTGACTTTTCGCGCTGCTGGCGCCTGGCGAGCATCTCCACCAGGTGTCGTTCGGTGAGACGTGTGCCGGTAGAGTCCAAACCGCTGGGCGTCGGGAAATTGCCTACGGACGAGAGCAATATAGAGAGAAGTTGTTCGGCCGCCTCGCTAACGCGTTTCGAGGGCGCTGGAAAGGCCTGATCCGGGGTCTGACTGTTTCCACCAGCACCGCTCACGGCGGCGGCGGCGGCCTAGGTGAGGCGTAGACAAAGAGGGATTAGAGAGGATGCCATGAGAGCAATAACGGCCCCAGTACGCATGGTCTTACTATCAGGGAGGGGATAGACATGAATCAGGGTAGGAGAAGTACCGACATTAGTGACCGGAGAGGTGGAGAACAGATGAAGTACGAAGATGGTGGGAGAGACATGGGAAGAGAATGGTGGAGGAAGGGGAACTGTGAAAGAGGGAATAAGGGCGCGTGTAACCTTTGACAAAGATATTTTCGGAAGAGTCTACGGCACCTTTGTTCCGCCTCATCTAGAATATGACATACAACCATGGCGTTCAGGGCTAGAAAAGGACCAAACATGCCTTGAAGAAGTACAACGCACAACAAAGCTGGTAAAGGGTTTAAAAAACCAATCTTGCATAGAAAGACTGGACTGCCTAAATTTATTGCCTGTGTTACAGATAGCAAAGAGGTGATCTTATCCTGATTTTAAAGATACTACATGACCTTGAGCATGAACTGAGCTTAAAGGACATGTTTCAGTGGCACCTTTCGCGCAGTCTTCGGGGCCACTCGACGAAACTACGCACGAAAATGTTCAGGCCGGACCTTTGCTCTGAATTTTTTACACAAAGGGCAGTGGAGAAATGAAATGATCTTCCCCAATCACTCGTGAGGGCGACGTCCCTGCAGCTCTTCAAGAAACGCTTGGATGATTATTAGTGTCCCCATTTTCCCTCGACAGTCTGAACCTGAACGAAGCACCCCATACACCCCAGAAAGTATCTGAAAGCAGGTCTACTTAAATCGTACAAGTACTATTTTAATAGCGACAATAATTATTTGTCTGGTTTAATTTCCGAGGAGATTAATGCGCAAACTTGGAGTAAATCTCCCAGAACAGACCTTTTCGGGCACGAGCCGAAAGTTGATATGAATATTTGAGCTGAAATCCATCAGCTACTGCGGAATAACCACGTAATATTCACAAACCACCCACAGTTAGCCAGTAGTATATCATTGT